TATCTTAGGGTCCGTCCATAAATGACGTCACGCGGTTTTGGACGATTTTTGACCCCCCACCCCTCGTCACACGGCGTCACGAAAAATCAGACCCCCCCCCTCAACTATGACGTTACAAAGCTCTGCCCCCCCCCCCCCAAAAAAAAAAAACATGCTTCAAATCGCTTTATTGTCATTGTAGTGCGTATTTAATGTGGCGCTGCACTCTGATGTTGTAAGATAAAACATGTATTAAAAAGTATATTTAATTAAGTAGAACGTGTTGTCTATATTTATTTAAAGTTGCTCATTTTGATGTGACGTCACATTTCTCACCCCCCCCCCTCTTCGTCACACATCGTCACAAATGTCTGACCCCCCCCCCCCCAGGTGCGTGACGTCATTTATGGACGGCCCCAAAGTCCCATCACAAGGGAGAAACACAAACTCATAGACCACATTTTTTTGTCCCCGTATTGAAACGGCTATACGCCGAATGGACGTTTCCCTGTACAATAATACGGAGTAATCCATATGGGTGGACAGGCGTGTGAATTATTACTTGATACAACTGTCGTGGCTGTGACGGTTCCACCTGAAGACGGAAGCTTGTGTTGCCTCCGAAACGTCGTGATTTTTATTTTATTTTACCTTTATTAATTTTAATGTTTTACTTACGTGACTTTACCGAAAAACCTAAGATTCCTTGCAGTCACGAAAGCTTCAAATATAGAAAAAGTGTGAATTATCGTATAAGTGTGTATTGTTTCGATCCGGTAGTATTATGACGTGACATTATGACGTACGTAGTATTATGACGTAGATGCGCATCATGCCAACATTGTGGGAGAAGGCGGTGACGCGTGGGACAGGCAATGCGTGGATTGCCCTCACCCCCTGGTGGCCGAAGCTACGGAAACCACGGTGAGATTTGTTTTCTACAACGGTGTTAAAAGAACACTGCACACTTTATCTTGATTTGAAGCTTTCGTGACTGCAGGAATCCATACTCTTTGGTTCTTTCGGTAAAGTCACGTGGATAGAAAATTAAAAAGGCGAACTGCAGTTCTCCTGCTGTGTGTGTCTCACCTGATGACGGTTGCTTGTGTTGCGATCGAAACGTCGTGATCTGTTAATTTTCTATCTACGTGACTTTACCTAAAAAAGCAAAGAGTACTGCAGGCTTATTTAGGATCCCGGTTTCAGTTGAGTATGCCACTGGAGATTATGCACTTTTAAATCTAGATTTTTTAAAAATAACCTCATATTTTTGGAACTGATGTTTTATGTTAAGTTTGTTGTCTTTCCCCCACGCCTCCGATTAGTACGGTATGCTACGTACGGTGCAAAAGAAGTTCAACATGTGTAATGACAGTAGAGCCTGCATGCGGTGTGAGGGGACTCGTGGCCACGTGAGCTAATGACGGGGGTATCAGTTGTGAGTGTGAAGGGACTGGTGGCTACGGGAGGTAATGACAAGGGTATCGGTTGTGAGTGCGAAGGGACTGGTGGCTACGTGAGCTAATGACAGGGGTATCAGTTGTGAGTGCGAAGGGACTGGTGGCTACGTGAGCTAATGACAGGGGTATCAGTTGTGAGTGCGAAGGGACTGGTGGCTACGTCAGCTAATGACAGGGGAATCAGTTGTGAGTGCGAAGGGACTGGTGGCTACGTCAGCTAATGACAGGGGTATCAGTTGTGAGTGTGAAGGGACTGGTGGCTACGTGAGCTAATGACAGGGGTATCAGTTGTGAGTGTGAAGGGACTGGTGGCTACGTGAGCTAATGACGGGGGTATCAGTTGTGAGTGTGAAGGGACTGGTGGCTATGTGAGCTAATGACGGGGGTATCAGTTGTGAGTGCGAAGGGACTCGTGGATACGGGAATGATCGAGAATGGGGGCGTGGTCAGGTGACGGAAGAGGAAGGTGGAGTCTGCCGGTGGAGGGAGCTTCCAGAGTCAGCGAGAACGATCGAGAAGGGGGGCGTGGCCTCGTGTCGGTATAAAAGGGGGAGATGGACGGGAGACTCGGGGCTGTTGCAGTGGGGGTCTCCGCCTGATGTCAGGTGTCAACGTGTCTTCAATAGTGCCGTCTCGAGAGAAGCGTGTCAACTCGTCATTACACATTCATAGACTCACACAGAGACCCATAGAGTCACACAGAGAGCCATATACTCACACAGAGAGCCATTGACTCACACAGAAACCCATAGACTCACACAGAGAGCCATAGACTCACGAAGAGACCCATAGACTCACACAGAGACCCATAGAGTCACACAGAGAGCCATAGACTCACAAAGAGACCCATGTACTCACACAGAGACCCATAGACTCACACAGAGACCAATAGACGCACACAGAGAGCCATAGACTTACACAGAGACCCATAGACTCACACAGAGACCCATAGACTCACAAAGAGAACCATAGACTTACACAGAGACCCATAAACTCACACAGAGACCAATAGACGCACACAGAGAGCCATAGACTTACACAGAGACCCATAGACTCACGAAGAGACCCATAGACTAGCACAGAGACCCATAGACTAACACAGAGACCCACAGACTCACACAGAGACCCATAGACCCACACAGAGAGCCATAGACTCACGAAGAGACCCATAGACTCACACAGAGACCCATAGACTCACAAAGAGAACCATAGACTTACACAGAGACCCATAAACTCACACAGAGACCAATAGACGCACACAGAGAGCCATAGACTTACACAGAGACCCATAGACTCACGAAGAGACCCATAGACTAGCACAGAGACCCATAGACTAACACAGAGACCCACAGACTCACACAGAGACCCATAGACCCACACACAGAGCCATAGACTCACGAAGAGACCCATAGACTCACACAGAGACCCATAGACTCACACAGAGAGCCATAGACTCACACAGAGAGCCATAAACTCACGAAGAGACCCATAGACAGAGACCTATCGACTCCCCCAGCACCTCTGATTATCACGGTTGGCTACATTCGGTGAAAAATAAGTTAAACATACATACGTAACATTTGCAAATATGCTTGGGTTCATTTCACCACTCGCTGTCTCCCAGTGGAATTGTAAAGCTCTTGCCCCACATTGGAGCAGGCGAACTCCACATTTTATTTTCACGAATTTATTTGACCAAATAAGGCCCCTCTGAGCTCTGTAGCTGAAGCAATCTGGCCATAAATGATAGCTCAAGGAATTGGCTTATCACGTGGAAATGTATAGCAACCAAACAATCTAAACGCGTGACGTTGATTCTAAATGTGGAGGGGAAATCGGAGGGGTCGGGAGAAAAATCCACACGGCCACGGGCAGAGAGAGAGACACGCAAACTCCAGATACACAGCAGGCGTCAAGGGTCGGGATCGAACCCACGACCATCTGTATACCAGGCGAGGTTGTTAACATCTCACCACATGCAAACTCCAAATATACAGCAGGCGTCAGGGTCGGGATCGAACCCACGACCACCTGTATACCAGGCGAGGTTGTTAACATCTCACCACATGCAAACTCCAAATATACAGCAGGCGTCAGGGTCGGGATCGAACCCACGACCACCTGTATACCAGGCGAGGTTGTTAACATCTCACCACATGCAAACTCCAAATATACAGCAGGCGTCAGGGTCGGGATCGAACCCACAACCACCTGTATACCAGGCGAGGGAGTTAACATCTCGCCACCGTGGCGTGGTCGCGTGACCGGCACTTTTTAAAATCGAGACATCGAAGCCAGTCGAAAGGAAAAGCAACTCAATACATCAACAAATAATCAGACGTAACATTTTTATTTTTTACTTAAAACACCCAAGCCGTGTATTGCAGGCTGCCCAACGTAAGCTTGAAGCATTCTTAGCGTGTAAAAAAATATATGTATTTATATATTAAAGCGAAAGTAACGATTTAGTGACACCACGCAGCTTTATGTATATAACATCGGTACAGTATTACGGATGGGGTAAGTGCAAAGGGGTTTGTAGTGATGTTGTCCTAAAGAACTCCACTCAGCCTCCCAACACGTTCAGAAGGTGAAAGATGTTTAAACACCAAATAGAAACCTTTTTGCGAGGAATTAAGGACTGCATTGACCAGGCGTAATTGTGGTTAACATGCAAACAAACATGTTCTGATAATACATTAATTAATTCTAGATTTGGGGTTTTCGTGACTGCAAGGACCCATACTCGGTTAAGTCGGGTAGGTGAAAAAATAAAATAAAAAATAAGAATAAAAAGAAAGAATAAAATAGATTTCGTTATTTCTATTTTATTCTTTAATTTTTATTCTCATTTTTATTTTCACCTACGTGACTTTACCGAAAGAACCAAAGAGTATAATACATGCATTGCCTTTTTGAAATCGACGAAGGCTGTCTATGGTGTAGGCCAATCAGTTTCAAAGACAACGCATTTCTAATTATCGGAACGTGTTGTTTGCATGTTCACCGCATGTACGTGTGGTTAATGCAGACTTCATTCCTAGCAAAATGTTTCTATTTGGCTTTTGAACATCGTGTTTGATTGCCAGAGAGAGGACAAGCACCTATTATTACACTGGTCAAAAAAAAAAAAAAAAATTCTGGCCTGGAATTTTGCAGCTGTTCTAGACTAATTTCAGGGTGCTGATTCCAAATCTGATCTCAGATTTGCTCTGTCACATCTCATTTTATGCTATCGGCATACCCCATTTTCATTGATTTTACCCGAAATTAACTCTGTCACTTATGATTACAAGTTGTTGCGAGTCAGTGACTGCTTTAGTGTTCAAATATGGTGCTGTAGTTTTAGGATAGTGTGTTTATAATATCAGTTTATGTAGATATCCACATTTAATATTTTTCTTCTGCAGTTTTTATTGAAAATGCAATATTTGATATCTCAAAAACCTGATGTGATAAGACAAAAACTGATGCCAGATTTGGAATAAGCACCCCAAAATTAACTTAAACCCGTTGGAATACCTCATGCCAGAAAAAGTGTGTTGGCCAGTGTTATTTTCATATGTTCACATGCTCACGCCACGCCACACAGATGACGTGTATCCTTGCCACGCACACGAGACGCACACCGATTTCTGTTCAACATTTCTGTGCCTTCATTCGGTGATCGCGCTACGGTCGGTCTGAGATATGTATCTGCCCAAGCCGATTCCATAAACACCGATCTTGTACCTTTGTGAAATGGTGTTGATTTCACCACGTGACCGAGTTGTTGTTTTTGCATTGATTCCTATTTACTACATCGCTCTACCGTGTTCAACTTGTTTCATGGTTGGTCATATTTTTGATCCCTAGGTCACCCTTGCAACTGAAACTCATTAGGGTATCTTTATTTCTCACCCAGTCACACAAAATAAACTTGACTTATATCATGGAATACCTTTTTTGCCAGTATCAAAGTATGAAAAATAAGAATGTATTTTACCCTTTCTGGCAATAAAACAGGAGGTGTTAAGATGTTAAAACACCAAATAGATTCATTTTGCCGGGAATCAAGTTTGCATTAACCACACGTACCTGTGGTAAACATGCAAACACAAACATGCTCCGATAACATATGGCATTGTCTTTGAAACTGATTGACCCCGTCTCACCAGAGTCAGACCAGAGAACGCCAAAAGGCGAACGGGTACTTTTATTGCCAGAAATGGTCAAACATATTCTTGTTTTTCATACTTTGACTTGACAGATGCAAAGCGAGGAATTTGATCAGCCTCAGCACGAACCCACTCATCGTCTTTATTTCAATACTGGACGAATCCGATGAGCTATGAAGCTCTTTGGCACAGATGTTCAGCCACCACGCTCCACCACTGTCCTTCGTAGCCCAGCGTCCGGAACCCATCGTGGTGCAGTTGCACCGCCTACACACTCGATGGCGATACTGATTAACGCAGTTTCAACACTGACACACAGAGACTCAACACTGACACACAGAGACTCAACACTGACACACAGTCTCAACACTGACACACAGTCTCAACACTGACACACAGAGACTCAACACTGACACACACAGTCTCAACACTGACCCACAGCCTCAACACTGACAGAGACTCAACACTGACACACAGTATCAACACTGACACAGTGTCAACACTGACCCACAGCCTCAACACTGACACACAGAGACTCAACACTGACACACAGTCTCAACACTGAACCACAGTCTCAACACTGACAGCCTCAACACTGACACACAGTCTCAACACTGACCCACAGCCATACTTGCAGACTGCCTTTTCCGAAAGTGGCCATCAGGGGGCGCAATAAGCCAATCTTGGCCAATGGACGCCTTGCTCGTCACAAGTGACGGTACAGCCTCAATGTCCACGCCATCCCAATTACCCACAGATCCAATTGCTGCGCGACTCCCTCTTATCCGTCCTGCTCCTTGCTCATGAGCAAATTCGGAAGATCTCTCGGGGGTTGGCGGTGCGTGGAGGTGTGGAGTTGAGGTGGGAGGGGAGGGGAGAAGGGGGTTCGTGGGTTCGTGAGTTCGTGGTCCCGGGCTCAGAGCGCCGTGATGTCGTCGCTGCACCGCACGTGGACAATGACGGTGCCGCCACCGCTGCCACCGCCGCCCTCCCGCGTCTCCAGCTGCAGCGTGTGCTCGTCTTCGGCCTGGTTCAGTTCCGGCAGCCCCACCTCGCCAAGGAGCTCGTCCTTGAGCCAGTGGCTTGACCACACCTGGCCGGAGGAAACGACGAGCGGGTCCGGCAGTCAGGGCCACCTTTAGAGGCTTGCGGAATAATAAAACATCGATTCACCGCGGTAGCCCCCCCGCCACCCACCCCACCTCTAACGGGGGTGAGAACCGGAGGTCGCAAACGGGTTTTGATTCCTTACCCGTACCCGGCCGCACCAGGGTCGAAAATGGGTACTCTACCCGTACCCGTACCCTACCCGAAATGAGTGACAAACGGTTACTCACCAGTGACTCACGGTCTACCCGTACCCGTACCCGGCCGCACCAGGGTCGCAAACGGCTACCCGTACCCGGCCGGGTACGGGTAGCCGGGTATCGGGTAGGGTACGGGTATCGGGTACCCGGTTGCGACCTCTGGTGAGAACTCGAAGTGACCAGGACAAGAATCTCATTGCCAGCGCGATATAAAACTGTTAATAACAAAAAACTATCAACAATTTTTATTTTACCAGGTAAGGCCCACTGAGCTATGCAACTATTTTGTTCAGAAGCGACATGGTTACACAAATGATAGCTCAACGAAGTGGGTTATCATCATCGCGTGGACATTTATAGCAGGCAAATATGCATGTTTATAAAAAGTCGAGGGAAAAACCAGAGGACACGGAGACAAATCCATGCAACCACGGGGAGAGAGAGACACGCGCAAACTCCAAATATACAGGCGTTGGGGGTCTGGATCGAACCCACGACCTCCTGCATATCAAGCGAGGGAGATCATATCTCGCCACCGCATCACGCCAAACTTGGCGGGACACTGTTGAACAAGTAGTCACGAAACTCGAGTGAGGCTTTTAACAAATAGTAATCCTTTACAATTGCCAAGTGAGTGGTGTATTACATCCGTAGATTCCAATGGGTCACCACCATCAGGATGTAGAGGCCAGGGTAAATAAGTAATATTAAAACATACTTTTTTTTAAACATGCTTTATTTAAATGTACCGTACGAGTAATGGCAGAACTCCACGACTCCAGGAAGTGGCCCGTGGTGATTTACAGCCAACGTCAGTTGAGCGTGGACAATTAGACCCAAGCCGAAACATAACATATAAAAATGAATTTTAAAAATACTTTTTTATTTCTTTTGATAGAATATAGTATTGTCATTAGTATGACATAAGTATACCAAGTTTGCAGTCGATACCACATTGGGAAGTGGGTTAAAATTGAGCTACAAGATTTGAGGATACAACAACAACAACAGACAGAGTGAGTTAAATAAAAAGCGTGAAATAAAAAAAGGTGAGTTTTCAAGATGAGACTTAAATAACTATGGGACCTATGCATTGTCTCGTTTCAAAGACAAAGCATATACGGTATTATCCGAGCGTGTTTGTTTTGCAAGTACTTGGTGCATTTGGTGCCTTGCAAAATTGAATGATACAGACACAAGTCACCTGGATGACAATGGAATAATACAGATAATGATAATTGGTTTTTTACCCTTCTATCTGGCAACAAAACTGACACCTTTTTTACAAGGAGTCATGTTTACATAGACCACAATACCTGCAGTCATAATGCAAACAAAAAACATAACTCTGATAATGTGCACTGTCCTTGAAGTTGATTGGTCGGGTTGGACCAGATGACGCCAAAATGTGCCTTTTGGCGTCATCTGGTCCAACCCATGTGAGACTAGGCTCTAAGGAAAGCTGTCTCGGGTGTGGACCAATCAACTTGAAGGACAGTGCATACATTATCAGAGTTGTGTTTTTTGTTTGCATTATGACTGCAGGTATTGTGGTCTATGCAAACATGACTCCTTGTAAAAAAGATGTCAGTTTTGTTGCCAGATAGAAGGGTAAAAAAGCAATTATCATATTTTTACTGGCAAATGAGGTTCCAATAGAATACAGAAAATGACAATGAAATAATGCAAGTACAAATCACCTGGATGACAATGGGCTTGTCTGGCCTTCGCTGGTAGAAGATGGCCCTCGTGTTGAAGGCCGCCTCCTGCGTGCCCTTGAAGACGTCGGACTTCACCCGCACGTCCTCGCAGATGATCACTCCGTACGGGCTGATGCCTGGGCAAGACGTCGCGCGCTCTTAACTTCCGTGGGACAGGGAGGTCAGAGGTCAGAGTACCGAGGCGGCTACGTTAGGAAAAAAATTAACTCGTAAAAACTAAGTTTTTCACTATAAATCCTTTATATGCGTGGCGGCTAGAGTCCTCTCGTCCTCTGGCTTGAGATGGCTGCCACCTATGGGTCAGATGATTGCCTGCCACCATTAAGCAATTGGTAAATACATTTTTAAAAAAAATTCCTAAAAGTGTAAAATTTTGGAAAATAAATTGTCACGCACAACGAGTCTGTGTGCAAAATGTCAGCTCGATTGGATCACGGGAAGTGGGTTAAAAAACGAGCGAAAGATTTGCACGGTCGTAAGCGCACAAGCAAGCAAGTGAACTTAATATAAAGGATTTAAAAACATTTGGTCCCTGCCATGGGAATGTGGAATTTCCACCGCCGGCTGCACGACCTCGCAGATGATCACTCCATACGGGCTGATGCCTGGGCAAGACGTCGCGCTCTTAACTTCTGGTGGAACCGGGAGGTGCTTTGGTGCCATGCGCTCAGAGGTCAAAGCACCAAGCTGGCAGCATATAGGAAAATGTTTGTCCCTGTCATGGGAATGTGGAATTTCCACCGCTGGCTCCAGGGATCAACAACGCAGCTGTGCGTCATCGCCGTTACCATCGGCTGCGTCTTTGCGGGCACCGCTTGACGTTGCAACTCCCTCCTGCCATCACCGTCCCGTTCCCCCCAGCTGCAATAAGAGGATCAGTGGCAAAAGGCCGCGCCTCCGATGAGCGCGGTTGGCTACGTACGGTGCGAAAGAAGTTCAACACACACACACACATGTAATTGTGAGAACCCTGTTCAGTTCGAGAAACACGTTGCGATCTTGCCTATTACAACTTTGGAAGAAGAAGAGCTAACTCCTGCCTCAGCAGTTCTTTTGAAAATCCTTTATATTAAGTTCGCTTGCTTGCTTAGGACCGTGCAAATCTTTCGGTCGTTTTTTAAATCCACTTCCCGTGATCCAATCGAGCTGACAGTTTCCACACAGACTCGTTGTGCGTGACAATTAATGTTCGTGAAAAAAAAAAATTCAAAAATTTTACACTTTTTTGGACAAAAATATTATATTTAATTACCAATTGCTTAATGGTGCAATGCAATCATCTGACCCATAGGTGGAAGCCATCTCAAGCCAGAGGACGAGAGGACTCTCGCCGCCACGCATATAAAGGATTTAAAGTGAAAAACTTTGTTTTTACTGGTTATACTTATTTTCACGCTTTTATATAACTCGCTCTGTCTGTTCTATAATCAACTCTGTCTGTTGACGTATCCTCAAATCTTGTAACTCAATTTTAACCCACTTCCCAATGTGGTATCGACTGCAAACTTGTTATACGTATGTCATCCTGATGACAATACTATATTATATCATTGAAAATAAAAACATTATTTTTTTAAACGATCTTTTTTATATGTTATGTTTCGGCTTGGGTCTAATTGTCCACGCTCAACTGACGTTGGCTGTAAATCACCACGCTCCCTTACGCTATGGCAAGCTTCGGGGCCACTTCCTGGAGACGTGGAGTTCTTCCATTACTAGTACATTTCATAAAAGCGTGTTTAAAAAAAAGTATTTTTAAATATTACTTATCTCCCCCCACATTTAGAATCAATGTCACGCATTTAGAGTATTTGGCTACGATACATTATCACGTAACGATAAGCCACTTTGTTGAGCCGTCATCTGTTAAAGCCAGGTCGTTTCTGAAAAATAGCTACAGTACATAACTCACTGGGCCTTACCTAATAAAATAAATGAAATAGTTTCGTTTAACTTGGCATCTCATCTCAATCCTCCCCCCTCCCTCTCTGTGCGAGCCGCATTCTCTCTCAGAGACGTCCGTGTCGATCATATGGCGTCCCTTGATACCAGCTCACTTCATGACCTATTTAAAATATGTTGTATTCATATTACTTGGTAATAAGGCCCACTGAATTGGAAAATTATAGCAGCCAAATACTCGAAACGCGTGATGTCGATTCTAAATGTGGAGGGGGAAACCCGGAAGACCCGGAGGAAAATCCACGAGACCACGGGGAGAGAGAGAGAGACACGCAAACTGCAAACATACAGCAGCAGGCGTCAGGGTCGGGAGTGAACCCACGACCTTCTGTATACCAGGCGAGGTAGTTAACATCTCCTAGCCACCGTGATGATGATGATGAGAGAGAGACACGCAAACTCCAAACATACAGCAGGCGTCAGGGTCGGGATCGAACCCACGACCTCCTGTATACCAGGCGAGGTAGTTAACATCTCCTAGCCACCGTGATGATGATGAGAGAGAGAGACGCAGACTCCAAATATACAGGAGCAGGCGTCAGGGTCGGGATCGAACCCACGACCTCCTGTATACCAGGCGAGGTAGTTAACATCTCCTAGCCACCGTGGCGCCCCTAACCCAAAGCACGCGGCCTAACCCAAAAAAAACCGTGACTATAAAAACCGAACTTTATTTCTTTGAAGGCACCCGTCTTAAGGCAAGGCGGACATACAACCGCCAATCATTTACGAATCATTACTAGTCCTCAAATGTGTAACCGCATTGAGATAATTATTAATGGGCCGCTTTGTTGAGCTATCATTTGTGGCCAGGTCGCTTCTGAAAAATAAGTAAATACCTGGGTGGCCTTTGTCTGGAAGGATGGGGATGGTTTAATGTTGTATTTGTGTGTTTGGGTGATTTTTTTTACCTTTCTTGAACTTTGCACTGCTATCGTGCTTTTGTACCGTTTGTTATTGTAACGTTCTGACCCCGTGCCCATACTGTTTCAAGTTTCAAGTTCACTTATTTGGTATAGCCCTGTGAGCCATTCGGCTCTTGAATCGGGTGCAACCGCAACAAAAAAAAACATGAACAAAAAACATCTTAAAGTGAATATGTGACTAAGTGCAAACAGAAAATCCAAGAAAAGACAGCAAAATATTGCAGAAAAAAACCGTACACCAACGCTGTGTGCAAAAATCCCAGTGGGATGCAAGTCAAACAACAACAACCACAAGACAACTTAGATTAAGGCCATCAGTCTAACTCTGTACTACAACAAACAAACATGGCTAAACCAATACACTTTTCGAAATCACCAAAATAAATCTATGGACATCTGTGACAAAAGAGCTTCATGGATCATCGGATTCCTGCTGCCAGTATAAATACAATATTACAGGTAGGAACAACAGGTTCCACACTGCCCACCAGGCATTATGTGTCTGTCTGTCGTGCATATTTGTCTGTCGTGCACGAATGCGCTGTCCAACCAAGTTCCTACCTGCCCACTCCGAAGGAACGTGTTCTGATTCTGTTAGGCCACGTGGCGGAGCCAAGCGGAGCGACGAGGCAGTTGAGTGTGGATTTAAAGCTTTCGTGACTGCAGGGATTCATCTTCTTGGTTCTTTCGGTAAAGTCACGTAGAATGGAAATAATAAAATAATAAAAAATTTAACATAATAAAATAATTCTCACGACGTTTCGGCCACAACGCATGCAGCCGTCCTTAGGTGGAGAACAGGTCTGAGAACAGGTCTGTCCTCTCGACGGCTGCTTGCGTTGTGGCCGAAACGTCGTGAGAATTATTTTATTATGTTTAATTTTTATTATTTTATTATTTCCATTCTACGTGACTTTACCGAAAGAACCAAGAAGATGAATCCCTGCAGTCACGAAAGCTTTAAATCGAAATTTAATTATTTCATAATTTTAATTTTTTAAATTTTATTATTTCCCTTCTACGTGACTTTACCGAAAGAACCAAGAAGATGAATCCCTGCAGTCACGAAAGCTTTAAATCGAAATGCAATTATTTTATTATTATATTTTTTATTATTTTATTATTTCCCTTCTACGTGACTTTACCGAAAGAACCAAGAAGACAGTTGAGTGTGGTTCTTTCCGCGACGCGGCGAGTGCCACGCGGTGTGATGGGGGCCATAGGGAGGGTGGGTGGGTAGGTGGGGGGAGAGACAACACCTGTCTTGCCGGGGACCTTGGCAGCGCGAAGGTGAACGGTGACCACCCTCACCGGGGGTCGATGGAACATGACCCAGCACGACTCGAGCGGACTGTCCTTGGTCAGCTCCCTGCACCGCCACCGACGGCGACAAAAAACCCGGCACGGCTCTCTCAGCAGCAGCAGCAGCGGCGGCCGCGCCTCCGATTTAGCGCGGCTGGCTTACGTACGGCGGCAAAAAAGTTCTACGTACGTGCGGATGCTCGCAGCGATCCGCAGGCGAACCGGTGCTGCTACAAACAACCGCGATGACCACCACCACCGCCGCCAGCAACAACAACAACAGCAGCAACAGCAATGATCTACTCTGCCAACAGCTGCTCATCCAACAACCTCGGCTACCAGGTCAACCTCCACCGACAACGGCCCGGCTCTCAGTGGCCGTGATTCCACTCACAGCAAGCCGCGGGTCAACTGGTGCTACTGCAGCCACCACCACAACCACCACCACCAGCAACAACAATTACAGCAGCAGCAACGATCTACTCATCCAACCACCCCGGCTACCAAGTCAATCTCCACCGTCAACGGTTCCCCGTGATCACGGCCCGTCTCCGCTCACAGCTAAGCGGACGGTGTTTAAACTAAACTATTTTATTTATCGGCTAAAACCCACCGAGCTTTGAGCTCTTGTTTCAGACGTGATAGCTCATGAAAGTGGCTGATCATCATCATCATCGCCGTCGACGTCATCATCATCACGTGTGAAAATTCATAGGACCAGCCAAATAATCTAAGCGTGTGTTGTTTCTAAACGTGGAAGGGGGGGGAGGGAAACCGGAGGAACCCGGAGAACAATCAATGCTGTGACAACCACGTAAAGAGAGAGAGTGTGGGTCTGGTTGGCTGGCGTGGTTAAGGGTTAGGGTTAGGTGTGGAGCGTGGGTCTGGTTGGCTGGTGTGGCTAGAGGTGAGGGTTAGGTGTGGAGGGTGGGTCTGGTTGGCTGGTGTGGTTAGGGGTGAGGGCTAGGTGTGGAGCGTGGGTCTGGTTGGCTGGTGTGGCTAGAGGTGAGGGTTAGGTGTGGAGGGTGGGTCTGGTTGGCTGGTGTGGTTAGGGGTGAGGGCTAGGTGTGGAGCGTGGGTCTGGTTGGCTGGTGTAGTTAGGGGTGAGGGCTAGGTGTGGAGCGTGGGTCTGGTTGGCTGGTGTGGTTAGGGGTGAGGGCTAGGTGTGGAGCGTGGGTCTGGTTAGCTGGTGTGGAAAGGAGTGAGGGTTAGGTGTGGAGCGTGGGTCTGGTTGGCTGGTGTGGTTAGGGGTGAGGGCTAGGTGTGGAGCGTGGGTCTGGTTAGCTGGTGTGGTTAGGGGTGAGGGCTAGGTGTGGAGCGTGGGTCTGGTTAGCTGGTGTGGAAAGGAGTGAGGGTTAGGTGTGGAGGGTGGGTCTGGTTGGCTGGTGTGGTTAGGGGTGAGGGTTAGGTGTGGAGCGTGGGTCTGGTTGGCTGGCGTGGTTAGGGGTGAGGGTTAGGTGTGGAGGGTGGGTCTGGTTGGCTGGTGTGGTTAGGGGTGAGGGTTAGGTGTGGAGTGTGGGTCTGGTTGGCTGGTGTGGTTAGGGTTGAGGGTTAGGTGTGGAGTGTGGGTCTGGTTGGCTGGTGTGGTTAGGGGTGGGGGTTAGGTGTGGAGGGTGGGTCTGGTTGGCTGGTGTGGAAAGGAGTGAGGGTTAGGTGTGGAGTGTGGGTCTGGTTGGCTGGTGTGGTTAGGGGTGAGGGTTAGGTGTGGAGTGTGGGTCTGGTTGGCTGCTGTGGTTAGGGGTGAGGGTTAGGTGTGGAGTGTGGGTCTGGTTGGATGGTGTGGTTAGGGGTTGAGGGTTAGGTGTAGAGCGTGGGTCTGGTTGGCTGGTGTGGTTAGGGGTGAGGGTTAGGTGTGGAGTGTGGGTCTGGTTGGCTGGTGTGGTTAGGGGTTGAGGGCTAGGTGTAGAGCGTGGGTCTGGTTGGCTGGTGTGGTTAGGGGTGAGGGTTAGGTGTGGAGCGTGGGTCTGGTTGGCTGGTGTGGAAAGGGGTGAGGGTTAGGTGTGGAGTGTGGGTCTGGTTGGCTGGTGAGGTTAGGGGTGAGGGTTAGGTGTGGAGGGTGGGTCTGGTTGGCTGGTGTGGTTAGGGGGAGGGTTAGGTGTGGAACGTGGGTCTGGTTGGCTGGTGTGGCTCGGGGTGAGGGTTAGGTGTGGAACGTGGGTCTGGTTGGCTGGTGTGGCTCGGGGTGAGGGTTAGGTGTGGAACGTGGGTCTGGTTGGCTGGTGAGGTTAGGGGTGAGGGTTAGGTTTGGAGGGTGGGTCTGGTTGGCTGGTGTAGTTAGGGGTGAGTGTTAGGTGCGGAGTGTGGGTCTGGTTGGCTGGTGAGGTTAGGGGTGAGGGTTAGGTGCGGAGTGTGGGTCTGGTTGGCTGGTGTGGAAAGGAGTGAGGGTTAGGTGTGGAGGGTGGGTCTGGTTGGCTGGTGTGGCTCGGGGTGAGGGTTAGGTGTGGAGTGTGGGTCTGGTTGGCTGGTGTGGTTAGAGGTGAGGGTTAGGTGTGGAGTGTGGGTCTGGTTGGCTGGTGTGGAAAGGAGTGAGGGTTAGGTGTGGAGGGTGGGTCTGGTTGGCTGGTGTGGCTCGGGGTGAGGGTTAGGTGTGGAGTGTGGGTCTGGTTGGCTGTTGTGGTTAGGGGTGAGGGTTAGGTGTGGAGCGTGGGTCTGGTTGGCTGGTGTGGTTATCGGTGAGGGTTAGGTGTGGAGCGTGGGTCTGGTTGGCTGGTCTGGTTAGGGGTGAGGGCTAGGTGTGGAGTGTGGGTCTGGTTGGCTGGTGTGGTTAGGGGTTAGACAGGTTTGGAGTGTGGGTCTGGTTGGCTGGTGTGGTTAGGGGTGAGGGTTAGGTGTGGAGTGTGGGTCTGGTTGGCTGGTGTCGCGAGGGGTGAGGGTTAGGTGTGGAGTGTGGGTCTGGTTGGCTGGTGTGGTTAGGGGTTAGGGTTAGGTGTGGAGTGTGGTTTCTGGTTAGCTGCTGCGGTAAGGCGTCAGACGGTGTTAGGCTACGCGAACACGTGGGAGCAGCACGGACCGGAAATTCGATGCCACGTCGGAGTAGAGCCTCAGCAGGAAGCGCCTGGGGATGCCTGGGCGGTACGTGGAGGGGATGATGACGTAGCGGCCACACGCCAGCTCCAGCCGCAGGAAGACATTGAGCGCGTTGATGTACTTGGAGACGGCGACACGTTCGGGGGCTCTGTGCAAGCGGTACCTTCGGTTCTCCTCCACCTGCACGCCAGCAGGGGTCAGCGGCCGGGGGTCAGCGGCAGAGGTCGCAATCGGGTACCCGATACCCGTTTGCGACCCTGGTGCGGCCGGGTACAGGTACGGGTAGCTGCACGTGACTCACCCCAACCAATGAGTGAGAAGGCCGTGATTCACTGGTGAGTAACCGTTTCTCACTCATTTCCCAACGTCTTGTCTCTTCTCACAATTCAAGTTCCTAGAATCAACCCACCCGTGCCTGCAACATGGCTTCATCCCAGAGGTCGCAATCGGGTTCCCGATACCCGTACCTTACCCGATACCCGGCTACCCGTACCCGGCCGGGTATTGGGTAGGGTACGGGTACCCGTTTGCGACCCTGGTGCGGCCGGGTACGGGTAAGGAATCAAAACCCGTTTGCGACCTCTGGTCAGCAGCGGGAGGCAACAGGACAAGATCCAGGAACTGAGTGTCACTATCCAGGAAGTCGGACTAAACACGTGCACCCCGATGTGGCTTCTTCAACAATAGCAACAGCAACCAATGCAAACCTGCCATGAACAACCAATCAGATTTAAGATAATATTTTTGGGTTTTATGTTGACCCGGGGTGGGAGGGGGGGGTGTCGACGCAGTCTGCACCTTGTAGATGAGGAACCCGATGGAAACTTTTCTGGGCCTAGTCAAGGCTTGACTGGGGTCCCGGTCCTGCTGCTGCAAGGAGATGAGTATCTCGTCTTTGTCCTTCTGGACTTGGAACATGTACTGTGAGAGAGAGAGAGAGGACACACGCGTGAGGGAAGCAGGGGGTTACGGCACCTGGGTCTGTCCCGTGACTTCCTGCCAGCTGGCATTTGACACTTCACGTGGCCTGGCACAAGCGCTGTAGTCACGTCACTGCCACCTGGTGGCGAATGCATACCGTGTCAACCCATACGGTTTACTCCATATTCTTGTAGAGGAATTTTTTGTTTTCAGGTCCATGCGGCATACAACCATTTCAATATGGGCAAAAACAATGTTTTGTCTATTTGTTTGTGTTTCTCCCTTGTGATCGGACTTTGTAAGATGAACTTTGAGATTTATAAGAGGCACGGGGTGACCAATAAGGTCTCATCTTCTTGGTTCTTTCGTATAAAAACATAATAAAATAAAATAATTATTTTATTTTATTATGTTTTATTTTTATTATTTTATTACTTCCCTTCTACGTGACTTTACCGAAAGAACCAAGAAGATGAATCCCTGCAGTCACGAAAGCTTTAAATCGAAATTCAATAAGGTCACATTTGGTGAGTAACAAGGTAGGGCACTGATAAGGGGTTGACAGGTATGCCAATGGCAGTTGTTGTTGTTGTGCATGTGTGAGTGTGTGAGTGCCAGCGACCTGCGGGTTCTGCAAGTAGGTGTCGTAGTTGCTGCAGCCCCCGGCGCGGTTGCGCCGTGGATCGGGCGACGGCACCCACTCTCCGAACGAGCGCACCTCCTCCCACGTCTTGCGCACGCTCAGCAGCGCCGTGTTCACCAGGCGACACACCACCGCATCCGTAAAGTTATTACACCAGTCGGTCAGCGACATCCTGCGGGGGGTAGGGGGGGGGGGTGGCACCCATCCGCACCTCCCGTTAGCACGGGTGGCTACGTACGGTGCTAAAGAAATTCAACATACAGTGATCCCTCGTTTATCGCGGTTAATGGGGACCGGAACCCCTCGCGATAGGTGAAAATCCGCGAAGTAGGATTGGCCCCCTAGGAATTTCCGTATATGTGTGTGTGGGTACCAGAATGCTTAAATATGTATATTTATACTTTATATATTACTTAAATCTATTTAATTATAAAACCTTAATATTATACATTCACTCTCTCTCTCTCATACGATACGTATTATTGTGTTCCTACACTCACCAATGACAATAGTATCTTGAGACTTGACTCCAGTAATGACGAGGACGACGATGACAATGACGATGACAATGACGACGATGACAGACCTGTGCAGTTCGATGAATGTGATGATGAATGATGATGATGGTGTTACTGCACAGGTATAATGAGGCCTTTAAATCAGTTCGAAAAATCCGCGATGCACTGAGGCCGCGAAACTTGAACCGCGAAGTGGCGAGGAATTACTGTATGTGTAGTGACGACAGGGACGGTCGAACCAGAGGCAACACCCGTTTATTAACTCTTACGTAGGTACAACGTATAACTGAAGAGGTAGCGGCCTCTTCACCCGTTTATGAACAGTAAACACTCCCCAGGCTAACTCCCACCCGTCCTCTCAAGGAGACGACCTGATCTGGCCCTGGCTAGGCACAGATCCCGACTACCAGCCAGACAAAGTCGGCCCTCAGAAGGACGTCGACCTTGGCAGCTCTGGCTAGTCGCACCGCTGGCTTGCTCTGGCCGGCCCTTAGAAGAACAGCGACCAGAGGAGTTCCAGGGACTAGCGAGCTGGCTTTCGATCTTCACTAGTTCTTCATCTTGACCCGTTCCAACGTCTGCCTCGAGCTCTCTGGCTCTCTCCGCCTTTTATACCAACTTGCCACCGAGGGGCGGGGCTGTGTGGGATCACAGCATCCCCCCACAGCCCCCCCAGGGTGGTAACCGTTTGCGGACGTGGATGTGGACACCCCTGTGTAACCGTCCGTTTTCCTCCCGTAACACCCCTACATACACACTATCGTCATCATCCCGTACCTCCGATTAGCACAGTTTGCTACATATACATTCGACTTACGAACTTACAGAGATATGAACAAACCTATCCGCATGTACAGTTATCTGTTCGAACCGAGAGGCGTAAATTCAGCCACCATGCAATAGATGGCGGTAGTCGTATCTACATCTGCAAAACATAAAGAACCGGTGGCATCTATATCTGTAGAACGTGAAGAACCAGTGGCATCTTCTTGGTTCTTTCGGCAAAGTAACGTAGAAGGGAAGTAATAAAATAATAAAATTTAAAAAAACATAATAAAATCTTTTTTTTAATTATGTTTTATTTTTATTATTTTATTATTTCCCTTCTACGTGACTTTACCGAAAGAACCAAGAAGATGAATCCCTGCAGTCACGAAAGCTTTAAATCGAAATTTAACCAGTGGCATCTACATCTACAGGGAATGATACAACTTTTAAAGCCATTCCCTGTGTTTAGTGTACACGCTGTACAACATGTTTGGAATTGGTAGGAGTAAAGTTGGACTTACGAATACATCGACTTACGAACAGCCCTTTGGAACATAACTCGTTTGTAATTACAGAAGTCCCTGTACATACATTAGCACGGTTGGTTGCGTACGGTGCAAAATAAATTCAACTTACTGACATACATCAGCGGTGATGACGGAGATGAGGATTCTGATATATATTCGGTACGTATGTATGCTGAACTTATTTTTGCGCCGTACGCAGTGAACAGTGCTCTTTAGAGGTGCGGGGGAAAGAACAACCCTAAACACAAGTAGCAAGCAAGCGAGACAATGTGGAAACGCGAGATTCCAAGGATCGTGAAAGTGAGTCTCCTTTGACAGACAAGGGAGAGAGCCATTATGTTGAGGAGCCTTTCAAGACCATCACCTTACCCTACATTGCTGGGGTCACAAAAAAGATCTCCAAAATCCTGATTAAACACAAGATCCAGGTCCGATTCAACACAGTACATAAAATCCGTGATCTGGTACCGTCTGTAAAAGATGTGGTTCCAGACATACAGTACCCTGGCGTCTACAAACTAAGTTGCCTCTGTGGTAGCAGTTACATTGGGGAAACCAAACGACATGTCTCGGACCGCATCCGTGAACATAAAGCTGACCTGAAACACGGTAGGACTAACACCTCAGCCGTGGCAGATCACTGTTACAACTCAGTGGGCTCACATGATATTGACTTCTCCAAGACAGAGGTTCTCTGCAAGCCATCTGGCTATCATGAGAGATTCGTTCATGAGGCGATCCACATATACAAACACAGAGACAACTTTAACCGAGAAGATGGATTCTGGCTCAGCAATCATTGGAAGGACGTAATAAACCATTTCGATACACATTAGGGTGTGTAGAATAATACATAGTGTGATATTAAATGTATAAGATATAGGTTGGTTTACAGCAATACAGTATATAATTTAATGTTGGGTTTATCTATGGCAGTATATAGTACGGTATATGCTCGTGTGATGTAAGAGAATAAGGTTTAGATGGAAGCATATTATAGAATTTTTACGAGGTAAAATTGTAATGTATTACTTGCTGTTAGTAACTCAGCTTATTATAGAGTATAGTAAGTATACTGATGGTGCGATGCAGTTTATACTTTAGTTTTTTATGTAGTTTATACTTTAGTTTTCTACGTGGTTGTTGAGTAACTGCAGCTACATATCATTAACATTCCTTTCCTTTGTTACTGCTAATCCCTGCACCCCCCTTGGTTGCTGCTGATCCTGCATAATGCATGGGCATAATATGACTTTGACACCCCCCCGCCCAACGCCTACGCATTTTCCATGAATATGCTAAATCCCTCTTCACATGCACATTCTTTTTGTTAAGGCGCTCTTCAACCCCCAATGCAGCTTATATATAAGCTCCTAGTTTGGTAGTGTCTCATTCTTCACCTGAAGACGGCTGCTTGCGTTGTAGCCGAAACGTCGTGAGAATTGTTTTATTATGTTTTATTTTTATTATTTTATTACTTCCCTTCTACGTGACTTTACCGAAAGAAACAAGAAGACAAGAATAGGTGTTACCATTTCTGGAAATAAAACAGTTGTGTTAAGATCGTATTTGTTCTTTCGGTAAAGGCACGTAGAAGGGAAATAATAAAATAATAAAACTTAATGAAATAAAAATTCTCACGTTTCGGCCACAACACAAGCAGCCATCCTAAAGCAGCCGTTCACATTGTCTCGTGTGAGGACAGCTGCTGGTATTGTGGCCGAAACGTCGTAAGAATTTTTATTTTATTAACTTTTATTTTTATTTTTTTATTATTTCCCTTCTACGCGACTTTTTCCGAAAGAACCAAGAAGATAAATCCCTGCAGTCACGAAAGCTTTAAATTGAAATGTGTTAAGATATTAAAAGACGAAACAGAAACCTTTTGTAAGGAACCATGTCTGCGTTAACCACATATACATGTGGCGAACATGCCAACAAAAAACGTGCTCTGGTAGTATACGATGCACTGTCTTTGCAACTGATTGGCCCACACAAGAGACAGCTTTCTTTAGAGCCAAGTCTTTAGAGCCTGTGCTTGGTGACGTTGCCGTGGTTGGTGACGTTGGTGCAGTGCCACCAGGGGCCCCCTGCCGGGTCCGTGGAACCCAGAGGTCGCAAACGGGTTTTGATTCCTTACCCGTACCCGTACCCGGCCGCACCAGGGTCGCAAACGGGTACCCGTACCCGTACCCGGCCGGGTACGGGTAGGGTACGGGTATCGGGTAACACAAGCTTCCGTCTTCAGGTGGAACCGTCACAGCCACGACAGCTGTATCAAGTAAATGAGAGATTGCAGGAGCTACCACTCCGTTTATATAATGGTTGGAGAGGGGGGGGGGACTGGGCAAGTACAGCACACTTTTTATTCATATGGCAAGGTGAGGCTTAAGAGGGTGAGCCTTTGTTATGGAGAGGTACGGTTTGTGACTCAACCTGTGAAAACAACTGAACATGGTAAACCTGTAATAGTTGTCTGTCAAATAAGATTGGCCAAATAAGTGTAGTTATGTGTTGCCTTCGAAACGTCGTGATTTTTATTTTATTTTACTTTTATTAATTTTAATGTTTTACCTACGTGACTTTACCGAAAAAACCTAAGAGTATGAATCCTTGCAGTCACGAAAGCTTCAAATCTAGAATTAGGGTATCGGGTACCTGATTGCAACCTCTGGGATGAAGCCATGTTGCAGGCGCGGGTGGGTTGATTCTAGGAACTTGAATTGTGAGAAGAGACAAGACGTTGGGAAATGAGTGACAAACAGTTACTCACCAGTGACTCACGGTCTACCCGTACCCGTACCCGGCCGCACCAGGGTCGCAAACGGGTACCCGTACCCGGCCGGGTACTGGTAGCCGGGTATCGGGTAGGGTACGGATATCGGGTACCCGGTTGCGACCTCTGGTGGGACCCCAGTGCGATTGCGACCCTCCCCACACACTCGGCAGCTCCGCCACCGCGAGCACGCAGCCGGCCGTCACTCACCAGAACTCCCCGTCGTTCCGCACCGTAATTCCCATCCGTTGGCGCTCGCTCCCACTGACCATTTTCCACTCCTCGGACCTGCGGGACGGCAAGAGTTTACGTTTTACTCTAATCATAATCATTGTCTTCTGCTCACTGTGAACATTTCAGATTTCGGTGTGTGCATGTTGATCTTCTTTCACACCGATTTAAAGCTTCCGTGACTGCAGGAATTCATCTTCTTGGTTCTTTCGGTAAAGTCACGTAGAAGGGAAATAAAACGGCTGCTTGCGTTGTGGCCGAAACGTCGTGAGAATTATTTAATTATGTTTTATTTTTATTATTATATTATTTCCATCCTACGTGACTTTACCGAAAGAACCAAGAATATTCTTTCACACCATATGTAGCTTAACCGTGCTTCATCGGAGGTGCTGACGTTCGTGCAAATCGCAATTGCTTGGGGGACCCACAGACAAGCTGAGAGGCAGCGGTCAGGCGGTGAGCCGGCACTACCAATCATTGCCCAAGCTCTGCGATCCTATACTTATTAACGTGTTATCGGCCAGGGTTTATCCATTGATCCCACGCCAACCGCGGGGGGGGGGGGGTTACGTTCCTGAAAACCGCCGCGGTTTGGCAAAAAACTGCCGATGGTGTGCCGAAGGAAAACCGTGGATATGTATATACCGCGGGCGTGCGAACAAAAACGTGTTTGGCGAGGAGATCGCCATACGCGACACGAAGAATCCACGCTCTTGGCCGTGCGTATGTGTGACGTTCAAATAGCCACCTAGATTCAATCCACAGACTCAATGCTGTCAGTAGAACAAATCTGTGGGCCACCACCCGCTCTTGCATTGCAAACTAACGACAAGCAGATTGCAGCCCTCTGCCCGTAACACCTGGTATGCAGCCCTCTGCCCATAACACCTGGTATACAGCCCTCTGGCCGTAATACCTGATATGCACCTGGTATGCACTGGTGGTCGCTCATCCGTGCCAAATACTCTCAACGCGTGACGTTGATTCTAGACGTGGAGGGAAAAAACGGGAGGACGCGGGGAAAAATCCACGCGACCACGGGGGAAACAGACAGACAAGAGACACCGAACCCAGGTACCTCCTGTATACCAGGCGAGATAGTTAACATCTCCTAGCCACCGTGATGATGATGATGAGCGAGAGAGACGCAGACTCCAAATATACACAGCAGGTGTCGTCAGGGTCGGGATCAAACCCACGACCTCCTGTATACCAGGCGAGGTAGTTAACATCTCCTAGACGCCGCGGCGCAATTTGTAACACAGGGCCCCCATGGAACTGTCCCGACGACTCGGAGCGTCCTTTATTTCCCACCTCATCTTCATCCTCCCTCCATCCCTCCATCCCCCCCCCCCACCGCACTCCGTGCGAGCCGCGTCCTCTCTGCGCAGAGATATCGGTGGCGATCACACGGCCTTCCTTGACACCAAGCCAGAGGTCGCAACCGGGAACCTGATACCCGGCTACCCATACCCGGCCGGGTACGGGTACGGGTACCCGTTTGCGACCCTGGTGCGGCCGGGTACGGGTAGACCGTGTGTCACTGGTGAGTCACCGTTTGTCACTCATTTCCCAACGTCTTGTCTCTTCTCACAATTCAAGTTCCTAGAATCAACCCACCCGCGCCTGCAACATGGCTTCATCCCAGAGGTCGCAATCAGGTACCCGATACCCGGCCGGGTACGGGTAGGGTACAGGTACGGCCGGGTACGGGTACCCGTTTGCGACCCTGGTGCGGCCGGGTACGGGTAAGGAATCAAAACCCGTTTGCGACCTCTGCACCAAGCTCACTCCAATCGCCTGTCATCATCGTGCCAGCTGCCATTAATCATCCCGCACGTGGCCGCACGCGCCCGCCCCCATCGACGACGACGCTCACGTGTCGCTCCACGACCCGTTCCACTCGCGGTGGCCCCACGGGTTGCGCATGCGCAGCAGGTACTGCTTGTGGCTGCCGTCGCCGCCGTCCCGCGGCGCCAGCTGCACCTTGCGCACTGACGTCACGGAGTAGGAGTGGCCCTGCACCAGGCCGCTCGCCAGCCGCCGATTCAGCTCCTCCGCGGTGGCCTGCCGGGGGGGGCAGGGGGGGGGGCATGGTGGGAGGGGGCATGGTGAGGGTGGGCATGGTGGGAGGGGGGGCATGGTGGTGGGCATGGTGGGGGGGGTGGGCATGGTGGGAGGGGGCATGGGGGGGGCATGGTGGGGGTGGGCATGGTGGGGGGCATGGTGAGGGGGGCATGGTGGGGGGGCATGGTGGGGGTGGGCATGGTGGGGGGGGGCATGGTGGGGGGGCATGGTGGGGTGGGGCATGGTGGGGGGGGGCATGGTGGAGGGGGGGCATGGTGGGTGGGGGGTATGGTGGGGGGGGCATGGTGGAGGGGGGGCATGGTGGGTGGGGGGTATGGTGGGGGGGGCATGGTGGGGGGGGGCATGGTGGGGGGGCATAGTGGGGGGGCATGGTGGGGGGGGCATGGTGGGGGGGGGGCATGGTGGGGAAGGCATGGTGGGGCATGGTGGGGGTGGGCATGGTGGGGGGCATGGTGAGGGGGGCATGGTGGGGGGGCATGGTGGGGGTGGGCATGGTGGGGGGGGGCATGGTGGGGTGGGGCATGGTGGGGGGGGGGCATGGTGGAGGGGGGGCATGGTGGGTGGGGGGTATGGTGGGGGGGGCATGGTAGGGGGGGGCATGGTGGAGGGGGGGCATGGTGGGTGGGGGGTATGGTGGGGGGGGCATGGTGGGGGGGGGCATGGTGGGGGGGCCATGGTGGGGGGGCATGGTGGGGGGGCATGGTGGGGGGGGGGCATGGTGGGGGAGGCATGGTGGGGGGGGCATGGTGGGGGAGGGGGCATGGTGGGGGGGGTGGGCATGTTGGGGGGGGGGCATGGTGGGAGGGGGCATGGTGGGGGGGCATGGTGGGGGTGGCTATGGTGGGAGGGGGCATGGTGGGGGGCATGGTGGTGGGCATGGTGGGGGGGTGGGCATGGTGGGAGGGGGCATGGTGGGGGGGCATGGTGGTGGGCATGGTGGGGGGGGTGGGCATGGTGGGGGGGCATGGTGGGTGGGGGCATGGTGGGGGTGGGGGGGAACGGCGGCGGGTGGGGTCGTAGCGAGCAAGTGAACTCGCGTGGGTACGTGTGTGTGTCTGTACGTGTGTATGTGTACGTGAGTGTACGTGTGTGCGTATGTGTGTGTATCTGTGCGTGTCTCATCAGCCAGTCATCTCGGTCATCTCGGTCAGTCGACCCGTGGCACCTGCTGGGTCTGCCCCGTGACCTCCTGCCAGCGGGCGTTCGACACCTCACGTGGCCTCAAGGTGCACTTGGCCTGGCACAAGCGTCGTGGTGACGTCACCGCCACTTAGTGGCGAATTGCGGTTGTTGTTGTGTGTGTACGTACGTGTATGTATCTGTACATGTGTGTCTGTACGTGTGTGGGTGTACGTGAGTGTGTAGTTGTGTATCTGTGCGAGTGTATTTTTACGTGTGCGTGCGTATGTGTGTGTATCTGTACGTGTGTACGTGTGTGCATGTGTGTCGAACTTCTTTCGCACCGCTCGTAGCCAACTGTTGCTAATTGGAGATTTCCCGCTATGGACAGACAGATGGACGACAGACGAACAGACAGACGGACGGACGTTCATTCGTACGTATGGACGGACAGACGGACAAGACGGACGGACGAACAGACAGACAGACAGACAAGAAGTTCGTACGGACAGACAGACGGAGCCGCCGTCATAACGCTTCCCATCTACGGCTGAAATTCCTGACTAATTTCCCGGTGGAGTTGATGGGTGAGCTGGGGGTCGGGGAGAGGAGGGGGGAGGGAGGGAGGGTGTCAGTGGGCAGAGTGGGGCAGCAGCAGCAGCAGCGTACGCGGATGGAGCAGCTGATGAGGCCCCCGCGCGAGTGCGCCTTGAGCAGGCGGCCGAAGAGGTGGAACTTGCGGATGGCGTCGCGGGCGAGAGCGCTGTCGGTGAGGTCGAGGGGCTCCGACACCCCGCCCGAGAGGTCCACCAGCGCCGCCGCAGTGCTGCCCCCGTCCATCGCCTCGTACGAGCCGCACAGCCTGGAGACGGTGGGGGGGAGGGGAAAGAAGGTGGAGGGGGGGAAGAGAAGGTGGAGGAGGAGGGGGGACGAGGGGGGGAGGAGGGGGGGCAGAGAAGGGGGTGGAGGAGGGGGGGAAGGAGGAGGTGGAGGGGGAGAGAAGGAGGAGGAGGAGGGGGGGCAGAGAAGGGGGAGGAAGAGGGGGGGGGGGAGACGGTGAGGGTGGGTGGAGAGGGGGGGAAGTAGGAGGTGGAGGGGGAGAGGAGGTGGAGGGGGAGAGAAGGTGGAGGAGGAGGGGGGGAAGGGGGAGGAGGGGGGGGGTGGAGGAGGATAGTGAGAAGGTGGAGGGGGGCAGAGAAGTTGGAGGAGGAGGGGGGTGGAGAGAAGGAGGAGGGGGGGGAAGTAGGAGGAGGGAGAGAAGGGGGAGGAGGAGGGTGGAGGAGGAGAAGGACAAGAGGAGGTAGAGGGGAAGAGAAGGTGGAGGAGGGAGGGGGAGTGGGAGGAGGAGGGGGGGGAGGACGGTGAGGAGGTGGAGGGGGGGCAAAGAAGGGGGAGAAGGAGGAGAGGATGGAGGAGAAGGGCGAGGAGGATGGGGGGGACAGGAGGAGGATGAGGGGGGGTATGGGGTACAAGAGGATGATGATGATGAGACAGCTCTCAACACAAACCCAGGGGGTTGACACCTCGCGGCTCTTCAGGGACTACTGCTTCGTGACGTCATTCATTCACGACCCCCACGACGTCCACGTATTCACCACAATGCATTGCGGCTCGTGACCTATGGAGTTTGTTTCGTGCCGAAATTAGAAAGTCAAATGTCTCTCGTTGTTACTTTGGATGCCGACCCACGTGCTAATCCAACACGACCCAGATGTCGTCCTTTTCACATTCCAAGCCACCGGCACGCAGTGCTGGATATACAAACAACGACGGTGCCCTATTCATCTTCCAGGCTGTCACGTTAGATACGCCAAAAATGTAAAATAATAATAGTTATGAAATGCGCGGTGGGCGCACGCTCATTGAGTTATAGAGGGGCGATGCCAGCAGCTGAGAGCAGTGGCACTTGGTCTACCATCAGCAGCAGCAGCAGCATCATCAGCAGTATCGTAATCACTCGCAGAAGCATCATCAGCAACATCATCATCATTCGCAGCATCATCATTAGCAGCATCATAGAAGGCCCCTGCGTGCAAATCGCGCCGTGGTGGCTAGGAGATGTTAACTATCTCGCCTGGTATACAGGAGGTCGTGGGTTCGATCCCGACCCTCACGACGCCTGCTGCTGTATATTTGGAGTTTGCGTGTCTCTTTCATCATCATCATCATCACGGTGGCTAGGAGATGTTAACTACCTCGCCTGGAACACAGGAGGTCCTGGGTTCAATCCCGACCCTGACACCTGCTGCTGTATATTTGGAGTTTGCGTGTCTCTCTCTCATCATCATCATTGCAGTTGCTAGGAGATGTTAACTACCTTGCCTGGTATACAGGAGGTTGTGGGTTCGATCCTGACCCTGATGCCTGCTGTATATTTGGAGTTTGCATGTCTCTCTCTCTCATCATCATCACGGTGGCTAGGAGATGTTACCTCGTATGGTATACAGGAGGTCGTGGGTTCGATCCCGACCCTGACGACGCCTGCTGCTGTATATTTGGAGTTTGTGTATCTCTCTCTCTCCGCGTGGTCGCGTGGATTTTTCGCCAGGTCCACCGGTTTTTACTTCCACATTTAGAGTCAACATCACGTGTTTAGAGTATTTGGCTGCTATAATTTTCCAATTCAGTGGGCCTTATTACTGAGTAACATAAATAAAAAATTGTTTAAATCGGTCATGGAGAGTTCGTATTAAGGGAGGCGATATGATCGACAAAGACGTCTCTGAGAAAGGATGCGGCTCGCACAGAGAGGTAGGGAGAATTGAGATGAGATGCCAAATCAAATTAAACTATTTTATTTATTTTACTAGGTAAGGCCCAGTGAGTTATGTACTGTAGCTCTTTTTCAGAAACGACCTGGATATCACAAATGACGGCTCGGCAAAGTGGATTATCGTCGCGTGGACATTTATAGCAGCCAAATACTCTAAATGCGTGACGTTGATTCTAGATGTGGAGGGAGAAACAACTGGAGGACCGGGAGAGAGAGAGAGAGACACGCAAACTCCAATTATACAGCAGGTGTCAGGGGACGGGATCGAACCCACGACCTCCTATATACCAGACGAGGTAGTTAACATCTCCTAGCCACCGTGATGACGACGATGAGAGAGAGACGCAGACTCCAAATAAACAACAACAGGCATCGTCAGGGTCGGGATCGTATCCACGACCACCTGTCTACCAGGCGAGGCAGTTAACATCTAGCCACAGTGATGACGATGAGAGAGAGACGCAGACTCCAAATAAACAACAACAAGCATCGTCAGGGTCGCGATCGAACCCACGACCTCCTGCGTACCAGGCGAGGCAGTTAACATCTAGCCACCGTGATGATGATGAGAGAGAGAGACGCAGACTCCAAATAAGCAACAACAGGCATCGTCAGGGTCAGGATCGAACCCACGACCACCTGTCTACCAGGCGAGGCAGTCAACATCTAGCCACCGTGATGACGATGAGAGAGAGAGAGAGACAGACTCCAAATAAACAACAAGCATCGTCAGGGTCGGGATCGAACCCACGACCACCTGTCTACCAGGCGAGGCAGTCAACATCTAGCCACCGTGATGACGATGAGAGAGAGAGAGAGACAGACTCCAAATAAACAACAAGCATCGTCAGGGTCGGGATCGAACCCACGACCACCTATCTACCAGGCGAGGCAGTCAACATCTCCCGGCCACCGCGTCTGGCCACCGACGCAACGCACTTGGCGTAGGCCTTCTCCAGAAGGGCGCTCCAGAACTCGGAAGGCTCGCTCGAGCTGCAGTAGAGCAGCTTCCCGTCGGAGGTGGGCAGCCGGTCGTCAACCACCACGTCCAGCCACTGGCCGAAGCGCCAGAAGCAGAAGTGGAAGATCCCCGGGTGCGGATTGGGCCCCCCGCTGCCCCAGCACTGGCTGAAGGGGTCTGGGATCACCTGGAGGGGGGTGGGAGGAGGGGGGTGGAGGGGAGGGGGAGATTTCAGCCAGGTGTGTCGAGGTCTGTCGACAGATTCCGGAATAAGTATAACCCGTAAAAACAAAGTTTTTCACTATAAATCCTTTATATGCGTGGCGGCTAGAGTCCTCTCTTCCTCTGGCTTGAGATGGCTGCCACCTATGGGTCAGATGATTGCATTGCATCATTTAGCAATTGGTAATTAAATATAATATTTTTGTCCTAAAAAGTGTAAAATTTGGGAAAAAATAATTTCACGAACATTAATTGTCTCGCACAACGAGTCTGTGTGCAAAATGTCAGCTCGATTGGATCACGGGAAGTGGGTTAAAAAACGACCGAAAGATGTGCACTGTCCTAAGCAAGTAAGCGAACTTAATATAAAGGATTTAAAAATTGTTTCGGCCACAGGGACAACCGCTTACATCGCTTCAGTGGTGGGCACTATTACCTGTAAAATAAAATATACAGTAAAACCTTGGATTGCGAGCATAATTCGTTCTGGAAACGTGCTTGTAATCCAAAGCACTCGTATATCAGCTGTGATCACGTGACGCTCGACAGACAAAGCGTACACACGTACTACTCGCATTGCAAGACCTCGCTCGTTTATCAAATTAATATTTATTTAAAATGTTTGCTCGTCTTGCAAAACACTCGCAGACCAGGTTACTCGCAATCCAAGGTTTTACTGTAGTTGAATAGTATATGCCAGTGGATGTTAACCTTTACTGCAGGCCTTGCACCCCTTTGGTTCTCAATCGTCATGTTTTTTTTAAATCCTTTATATTAAGTTCACTTGCTTGCTTGCTTGCACGCTTACGACCGTGCAAATCTTTCGGTCGTTTTTTAACCCACTTCCCGTGATCCAATCGAGCTGACATTTTCCACACAGACTCGTTGTGCGTGACAATTAATGTTCGTGAAAAAAAAATTCTAAAATTTAACACGTTTTAGGACAAAAATATTATATTTAATTACCAATTGCTTAATGGTGCCATGCAATCATCTGACCCATAGGTGGCAGCCATCTCAAGCCAGAGGAAAAACTTTGTTTTTACGGGTTATACTTATTTATTCTCGATTTGAAGCTTTCGTGACTGCACCTTGATACAGCAAATTTAGCTGTGACAGTCCCACCTGAAGACGGAGACTTGTGTTGCCTCCGAAACGTCGTGATTTAATTGAGTTATTTTCATTTATTATTATTATTTTATTTTTATTATTTCTTACCTACGTGACTTTACCGAAAAAACCTAAGAGTATTGCTTAATTTGTCTTTTTGATGATTTGCCTTCTAAAAATAGTCTGGCCGTGTCCCGCACCCCCAGAAATGGCATCTGGCAGCCCTCCTGCACCTAGCCTGGCACAGCAGTCAGTCAACCCACGGCACCCAGGTTCTGTCCCGCGACCTGCACCTAGCCTGGCACAGCAGTCAGTCAACCCACGGTACCCCGGGTCTGTCTCGCGACCTGCACCTAGCCTGGCACAGCAGTCAGTCAACCCACAGCACCCCGGTTCTGTCCCGCGACCTGCACCTAGCCTGGCACAGCAGTCAGTCAACCCACGGCACCCCGGTTCTGTCCCGCGACCTGCACCTAGCCTGGCACAGCAGTCAGTCAACCCACGGCACCCCGGGTCTGTCCCGCGACCTGCACCTAGCCTGGCACAGCAGTCAGTCAACCCACGGCACCCGGGTCTGTCCCACGACCTGCACCTAGCCTGGCACAGCAGTCAGTCAACCCACGGCACCCCGGTTCTGTCCCGCGACCTGCACCTAGCCTGGCACAGCAGTCAGTCAACCCACGGCACCCAGGTTCTGTCCCGCGACCTGCACCTAGCCTGGCACAGCAGTCAGTCAACCCACGGCACCCCGGGTCTGTCCCACGACCTGCACCTAGCCTGGCACAGCAGTCAGTCAACCCACGGCACCCCGGTTCTGTCCCGCGACCTGCACCTAGCCTGGCACAGCAGTCAGTCAACCCACGGCACCCCGGGTCTGTCCCACGACCTGCACCTAGCCTGGCACAGCAGTCAGTCAACCCACGGCACCCCGGGTCTGTCCCTCGTCCTGCACCTAGCCTGGCACAGCAGTCAGTCAACGCACAGCACCCCGGTTCTGTCCCGCGACCTGCACCTAGCCTGGCACAGCAGTCAGTCAACCCACGGCACCCCGGGTCTGTCCCGCGACCTGCACCTAGCCTGGCACAGCAGTCAGTCAACCCACGGCACCCCGGTTCTGTCCCGCGACCTGCACCTAGCCTGGCACAGCAGTCAGTCAACGCACAGCACCCCGGTTCTGTCCCGCGACCTGCACCTAGCCTGGCACAGCAGTCAGTCAACCCACGGCACCCCGGTTCTGTCCCTCGTCCTGCACCTAGCCCGGCACAGCAGTCAGTCAACGCACAGCACCCCGGTTCTGTCCCGCGACCTGCACCTAGCCTGGCACAGCAGTCAGTCAACCCACGGCACCCCGGGTCTGTCCCGCGACCTGCACCTAGCCTGGCACAGCAGTCAGTCAACCCACGGCACCCCGGTTCTGTCCCGCGACCTGCACCTAGCCTGGCACAGCAGTCAGTCAACGCACAGCACCCCGGTTCTGTCCCGCGACCTGCACCTAGCCTGGCACAGCAGTCAGTCAACCCACGGCACCCCGGTTCTGTCCCGCGACCTGCACCTAGCCTCGCGCAGCAGTCAGTCAACCCACGGCACCCCGGTTCTGTCCCGCGACCTGCACCTAGCCTCGCGCAGCAGTCATTCAACCCACGGCACCCCGGGTCAGTCCCTCGACCTCCTCCTGTGTCAAGATGCACCCCCGGGTTAAGAAGAAGAACAACCACCACGACTGCGTTAGACCCTCACCTTGCTCCAGACGGACGGCCTAGTGGCCAGGCAGGAGCAGGCGGCCACGAACCAGCAGTTTCCCAGCGTGCCTTGGTTCAGGTCGTGAGCGCTGATGCCTCCGATCACCATGCGGGGAAAAGTGCACAGCTCCTGCGGGTGCAATGCAAATCCAAATAATAACTTACATTGTTACCGGCAAGTCCTCGCTTATCGCGTGGCGGTGTTCATGCTGCAACGCGGAATTCGCCCCGTTATAATGCGGACTGCGCCCCGTTATAACGCGAAACGTGCCCCGTTATAACGCGAAACGTGCCACGTTATAACGCGGCTTCTGAGCGGTCGACGACGAACTACTTTAAATTTCGATTTGAAGCTTTCGTGACTGCAGGGATTCATCTTCTTGGTTCTTTCGGTAAAGTCACGTAGAAGGGAAATAATAAAATAATAATAAAACATAATACAATAATTCTCACGACGTTTCGGCCACAACGCAAGCAGCCGTCCTCAGGTGAAGAACAGGTCTGTCGGAAAGACAGACCTGTTCTTCACCTGAGGACGGCTGCTTGCGTGAGAATTATTTTATTATGTTTTATTTGTATTATTTTATTATTTCCCTTCTACGTGACTTTACCGAAAGAACCAAGAAGACGAACTACTTTCTTGAGCTGCACTCGCCTGAGCGGAGTGATACAGGTACGCGGAACGATGCAGGAACGCAGTGGCGGCGTAGCCTCGGTTTTTTGTCCGTGCCATCTCCCTGTGCGTGTGCGCAGTGGTAGTAATTAGTGAGTTATTGCTATTACATTATTTATTGGGGGAAATATTTTCTCTTAACGCGACATCTACGATTGCGCTAAACGAGGACTCGCTCTCATCAACCTCTCCAAAAAAGAGTGTTTTGGCCTACTCTTCCACGCGGCTGTCCAAACGTCGAAAAAGAAAGAGGTGGGAGTTAGTCGCGGTTTACCTCCACCCGCACGGGTTTGTGCCAATCGACCCTGTTGATGGTGGTGGACCCCATTCGCTGCACCGCATGTCAATATCCACTCGATTGGGATGTCTAACATGGTCCAGCCATTGCATCGCCCCCCCATCCCGACCACGTGTGAAACCCGTGACCAGGATCCTCCTGGAAGATGAAAAAATTAACCCCTAAAAACAAAGTTTTCACTATAAATCCTTTATATGCGTGTTCAATGAGCCACAACCCAGCCCACATTAGTTTTTGAAACGGGCGGCTAGAGTCCTCTCGTCCTCTGGCTTGAGATGGCTGCCACCTATAGGTCAGATGATTGTCTGCCACCATTAAGCAATTGGTAATTAAATATAATTTTTTTTTCCTAAAAAGTGTAACATTTTGGAAAAAATTTTCACGAAAATAAATTGTCCCGCACAACGAGTCTGTGTGCAAAATGTCAGCTCGATTGGATCACGGGAAGTGGGTTAAAAAACGACCGAAAGATTTGCACGGTCGTAAACGCGCAAGCAAGCAAGTGAACTTAATATAAAGGATTTAAAAACAAACGAAGATTCGCCGAGCTCATGCGAGGCTTTGCTTGGTGAACACGGCAAGGTACACAGAGGAAGTGAGCTCGTCCATGAGGTTGGAAGACTTCCCCTGTGCACGGTGTGTGATTGACTTGTACGCAGTAGGGGGCACGGATGGTGCATCTGTCAGTCATCTCAGTCGGGAGAGCCACGGCACCAGCTGGGTCTGTCCCGTGAACTCCTCCTGCACCTAGCCTGGCACAGCAGCAGTCAACCCATGGCACCCCACGTCTGTCCCGTGACCTCCTCCTGCACCTAGCCTGGCACAACAGTCAACCCACGGTACCCCGGGTCTGTCCTGTGACCTCCTCCTGCACGTAGCCTGGCACAGCAGTCAATCCATGACACCCCAGGTCTGTCCCGTGACCTCCTGCACCTAGCCTGGCACAGCAGTCCACCCACGGCTTCCCGGGTCTGTCCCGTGACCTCCTCTTGCACCTAGCCTGGCACAGCAGTCAACCCACGGCATCCCGGGTCTGTCCCGTGACCTCTTCCTGCACGTAGCCTGGCACAGCAGTCAATCCACGGCGCCCGAGTCTGTCCCGTGACCTCCTGCACCTAGCCTGGCACAGCAGCAGTCACCCCACAGCACCAGCTGGATCTGTCCCGTGACCCTCCTGCCAGCAGCGAGCCTTCGACACTTTCACGTGCTGGCCTCAGATGTGCACCTAGCCTGGCACCGGCGCCGTGTGTGACGTGGCCGCCACTTAGTGGCGAATGTTGTTGCTGTTGTTGTTGGAAACATTCTAGCGCACCCCTCCCCTCCCCCACTCGCCCCCTCCCCCATCCATTCCGAATCATCGTGGCAAAGAAGCCAAAGCGGAGGGTGCCGTGGCTCTGTTGTCAAGATGTGAACTCTGCTGAGCTGTCGTTCGTGGCCAAGCCGCTTCTGAAAAAAAAAATTGAACACTTCAGTGGGGCTTTGCCTGGTAGGATGTGGGATGGTTTAGTGTCGCACATGCATCTGTGTGTTGGGTGATTTGTTGAGCTTTCTTGTGCTCTGCGCCTCAATAGTTCGTTGTTGGCAACGTCCTTACCCCGTGCCCCCTCCTGGACCATCTGTGACAAAAGATCTTTATTGCTCATCGGATTCTTCCTGCAGTGTCAATGCAATATTCCGATTTTGAACTTGGATGCGAACACGAACAGTTTGCCCCTCTTCACCCCACCCTAGCCCCCCCCCGCACCCCCCCCCCCTCTGCTTATTTATCTATCGCATTCTTAACAAGGGTTAGGCGAGCATCTCCATCATACTCTGGAGTGGATGTTTTAGTAAATGTTTTTATTAATTTATTTCTCTCTTCCCATCGCGGCGCTTGCTCTCACTTTCCCATCGCTTTCAAACGCTCACGGCGTTGTGGGGGGGGGGGGGTAGAGTGGGGGGGCACACTCGGAACGAGACTTTTATGTGGAAGTTTTTGTTTTTAAAAAATTAACCCGTAAAACAAAGTTTTTCACTATAAATCCTTTATATGCGTGGCATCGGGGCGGCTAGAGTCCTCTCATCCTCTGGCTTGAGATGGCTGCCACATATGGGTCAGATGATTGTCTGCCACCATTAAGCAATTGGTAATTAAATATCTATTGGATCACGGGAAGTGGGTTAAAAAAACGACCGAAAGATTTGCACGGTCGTAAGCATGCAATCAAGCACGCAAGCACGCAAGCAAGCAAGCAAGTGAACTTAATATAAAGGATTTAAAAAAGACGTCCTCAAAATCTGATTCCATCACCCATTTTCTTTGTTCAAGTCAGAATGTGCGTCGTCATCTGCTGCACACCTGAGCGTGATGCGGCTTTAGAACTATTTTAGTCAAAGACAAAATCAATAAAATGTCTTATTCTTCTTCCAGGATTTCTCTATCGATGATTCCGTGGCCTTAGAATGTATATTTGGAATTTGCGTGTCTCTCCCTCTCCCCGTGGTCGCGTGGATTTTTCTCCGGGTCTTCTGGCTTTTCCCTCCACAACATCACGCGTTAAGAGGATGTGGCGACTGCTATACATTTCTACACGATAAGCCAATTTGTAGACCTATCATTTGTGGCCAGGTCGCTTATGAAAAAGAGCTACATAGCTCAGTGGGCCTTAGGCCTTAGCTGGTCAAATTAAAATAAGTATAACCCGTAAAAACAAAGTTTTTCACTATAAATTCTTTATATGCGTGGCGGCTAGAGTCCTCTCGTCCTCTGGCTTGAGATGGCTGCCACCTATGGGTCAGATGATTGCATTGCACCATTAAGCAATTGGTAATGAAATATAATATTTTTGTCCTAAAAAGTGTAAAATTTCGGAAAAAATTTTCACGAACATTAATTGTCACGCACAACGAGTCTGTGTGGAAAATGTCAGCTCGATTGGATCACGGAAAGTGGGTTAAAAAACGACCGAAAGATTTGCACGGTCGTAAGCAAGCAAGCGAACTTAATATAAAGGATTTAAAAAGTTTAGTTTCGAGTTTGTTTGGTGTTGGAACATCTTAACCCCTTGTGTATTACTTTCAGCATGGGTTAAAGCCTCGTCTGTAAAACAAGAGTCGTAGAATCCCACTCCATCTCTCTGGACCTCTGTATTTTACGTGTTCTGAAAAATGGTCATTGCCCGAAACGTCGCCTATTAAAATATGCATCCTTTTAAATGCCACAGTGCTATCGATACAAAGACAAAGATTCACGGTATAGGCTTAACATATTTGTAGGGGCAAGTGCTGTTAGCGAGCACCTATAAAGGACGGCACGGCACACGAGGAGGTGGGTGGCCAACACCACGCCCGGCCGCCTTTGTCTCCCTAGTGGCGATGTTCACACATCGTACCAGGTACTCATTTGCGGCCGACCTAGGGGAGGCCCAGGACCGGTTCAGATAATCGTCACCCGGGTCGCCAGGTTCGTAGCGCAGCGCGCTAACCGCTACACTACCGCTCCCTCGCTATCGATATACAAAGATCCCCCATATAGCCTTAACAGACTGTAGGGGCAAGTGCTGTTAGCGAGCACCTATGAAGGCCGCAACGGTACACGAGGGGGTGGGTGGCCATATATATACACACACGCACACACACGCGCGCACACACACACACGCGCACACACACACACGCGCACACACACACACGCACACACACACACACACGCACACACACACGCGCGCACACACACACACGCACACACACACACACGCACACACACACACGCGCACACACACACACGCGCACACACACACACGCGCACACACACACGCGCACACACACACACGCGCACACACACACACACACACGCACACACAACAACAACAACAACAACAACCGCCATTCGCCACTAAGTGGCGGTGACGTCACCACGATGCTTGTGCCAGGCCAAGTGCACCTTGAGGCCACGTGAAGTGTCGAAAGCCCGCTGGCAGGAGGTCACGGGGCAGACCCAGGTGCCACTGGTCGACTGACCGAGATGACCGAGATGACTGGCTGATGCACCACCTGTGCCCCCTACTGTACCAACTTGCTGTGCTTTAGCCACCCGGCGCTCCGCTCGTTGTTGTGAGCGTCGCTCCTCCGCCCTCCGTTGTTGTTGGAGGGCGACTGCCTCCAACTGCCCAGTAGCGTCCTT